GGATGCATCCGAAGAAGTGGGCTGTAGTCCACGAAAGCTTATGCTCTAATAAATTTGTTAGTCTCTAAGGTGCCACAAGTCCTCCTGTTCTTCTTTTTGAGGTAATGGTGATGCACAATTTTCACAATAGGATGAAAAGCGCTTGTGAAACGTATTGAACCACGTGACAGCAAGCATTCATTTTGTCACAGAAGTTTAGTCCATGTAATGCTTGTCATCCTTCATTTTCAGCTGTGCTTCACTAGTCTTTAACTTTGTAAAGATATACTCTTGACAGGTTATGTAGAACAGTTCAGTGATTCAAGGATATACCTGTTCATTACTTTGTTCTATGCAACAAATAAGCAGGGTTCAATCAATTTAGCTCAAACTGAGTTTTGAGAAGGAGACTATGGCAGTTGTTTGTGGTGGCATTGAAGTTATTAGTAATGTGGTTGAAAATATTTTGCTTTGCAGAAAAGTTCAGTATGGTTAAGCCCAATAATTATATTTGGTGAGGAAGGTGGAGGTTTAGAGGGGACAGAGGCTTTAGATTGGTTAACAGCGAGGAAGCTCTTCCAGTCTTGTTTGCAAAAGCTTAAAACAAGCTGAGCAGACACACATTCCTTTTGTCCACAGTAACTCTGCACATACAGAGAAACACACTCACACTTTTTGATTGTTTTTTATTTGTGCCATTCTGCTTTAATGTGCAATGTTGTCACTATAACACTTAACTCACTAAACTGGCGAGGATTTTTCAGTCATTCCATCTCCACTTTTAACAGTTCATTGTTTCACTTGTCTTTCTCCCTTTTTTGTGTTTAGAATACAAAACTAAATAAAGCACCAGTGGTTATATCAACTACATATTCATAGCTTCATATCACTGTTTATTGCACCTTTCACATTAATGAGATGTTTGATACAGGTGTAATATTTGCTATGTGAAATGATGGTGGAAGAAACTGCTGGAGCTTTCTGGCAAGAGGCTCAGTTTAAAAAAAACCAAAAGTAGAGAATTAACACGAAGTACCAGACATTGAAATTTCATTAATCATAGAAGTGAATGCCTGATCCCAGAGTATTTAGATTTTGTTGCCCAAACTAAGAGATCAAATTTAATAACATATTAAACAAGCTCATTTCAGGAGATGCGTAACAAATAGAAGTATGTAGTGGGCAGTTCACAAATAGAAAATTAAAATTATGTAATGAAGTAGTGCTAGCTTCTAATAACTTCATAAGTACCGTACATATTTTAACCGATGATAAGGTGACATTCCCTTACTTTTTGCCTGTTGTTGTGACCATTCCTCAAACATCTCCTTTAAAATCTGAGCTAATAGGGGTGAAGAACACACTGACTACATTTAGTGGTAATGTGTGAAACCTGCATCTATGGTGCCTGCCGTATGAATATAAGAAGTATAGAAGGTTGGGGATGGGTGGGAAAGGGCTTCAGAAAAAACGGTAAAATTCTGTAGTGACTTAGAAATGTTCATTGTTATCATCACTTTTTGTTGTCACTTATATTAATAAAGTTGAAATTTACATTGCAGACTCAGTCCGCTAGTAACACACTCCAGAAACACAAATCTTCCTCCTCCTTTACACCTTTTATAGACCCCAGATTACTACAGATTTCTCCATCTAGTGGGACAACTGTGACTTCTGTGGGTAAGTAATGTAGATGCAAGAAGACAACTGAAAAGAAAAAAAAGCGTTCAGTGACTTGAGTTGCTCTTTAAAGTAGTTTAGAATGTTTCCATCATGCTTGTTACTTGATTTGCATTGGATTGCATATTATTTCCTTTTTCCATTTACATTTCTTACAAAAAGAAAGACTTGCTTAATATTATCAGTTACTGTCTGGGTTATTTAATAGAAAGTATATGGTAAATATTTGGCACTTAGAAGATAGTATTACATGTACTTTTCTTTTTTTTTTTTTCCCCCTAGTGGGATTTTCTAGTGAAGCCATGAGGTCAGAGGCAATAAGGCAAGATCCCACCAGGAAGGGATCAGTTGTCAATGTGAATCCTACTAATACACGACCACAAAGTGACACTCCAGAGATTCGCAAATACAAGAAGAGATTCAATTCTGAGATTTTGTGTGCTGCCTTATGGGGTAATGTATATCTGCGTCCCTCCTTTCCTCCCCTTATTTCCTTGTTTTTCTTTTCATTTACTTGATTGATTTTATGAACTCTCTCTAAGTGCATGAAGAGTGAGAGCGATTTATACCTCAGCAATTATCCAGTGTCCAAATAAGCCATAGATTACAACACAGGGAGGGATGGAAGGTTGTCTCTTACAACTTCTTGGTGTATATGAAAATAATTTTGTAGCTCAGAGCACACCAGTATAAGCTTAATGACCTAGACTGTTCATAAATTCATTTAAGGAGCAAGGACAAATAAGTGTCTGATATTTTGGAATATCTACATAGTAATAAAAGCTCAGTCTCATGTCATCATAGTGAGATCTTGTTACTATTGTGCTTACGATGTGGCTATTCTGAGGTCTGGCTTGATGCAAGTTCTGACGGGTATATTCTCAGGATTGAATAATAATCATTCAAAATTTTGTCAATTGACAGTCTTTTCAACTTTTTAAACCTCTTTTTAGTATATGTCTGCAGCTTTTGTGGATTATGGTAATCTTGCTGTGCATTTTGGGTCAGTACAAGGTTGTTAGGTTAATGATAGATTCAAAAAGGGTATTGTATTTGATTTTGCTTCTCAGAATTCTTGCTGAGAAATCAAAGGGCTTGATTAGAAAGTATTTCATGTTATAACTTTTATATTGGTGATCTCACATCGAATCACATAATTACCTGGAGAGAATAGGGCAAGTAACTAGGCAACTTCTTCTGTTTGAGACTATGGGCCACGTTCTCTTCCAAGCTCTGCTCAGTGCATTTGGGGCTAGGATCATGGGGTGCCAATGTGCCATTTACAGTTATGGCTCTTAGTTATCTTATGCCAGAGAAAGATTGGTCTGATGCCCATTTCCTATCTTGATATGCCCCCTACACCCAGGGTGGTTTTGTAGAGGAGTCATCTCCACTGACTTTACAGTAGCAGAAAAATCGCCTGTGCCATGAGATTTCAACACTGGCCACACTAATTGCCAGAATCCTGCCCTTTTGATACTGATATCTGTTTTAATGCTTTAAAACAAAAACACTAAACAGTTATGAATGTTGAAAAAGCTGGAGGAGAAAGAGTTGGTCCTTCCCCAAAGTCACATGATTAGTAGATTAAGTGTGGGGCTGCTGTGATAGTTTCATTTACATAGCACTTTACAAGTTATGGTGTGTAGGTAAATATTGTTTGCTATTTTACAGGAGGCGCTCAGAGAAGTAAAGTGACTTGCTCAAAGTTTTTTATATATATAAAAAACGAAAAACCTAGACTCAAAATCTAGGTCTCCTGGTTCTCTACTTGCTTCACTAAATCCCAGTTGTCCATTTGTAAAATAGGGGATAATGATATGTACTACACAGGAGGTCTGAAAACATGCATGATTTAAGATGCTGGTAGGTAGGTAGATATGATGTTCTCATTCTGTGTATTAGGAAACTGGCTCAGCAAAGCTGTCTTACTGCAATGTTTCAAACCTGGGTGTTTGAACTTAGTGAAAGTCCTGCAGATACACAGAACACTTGAAAATTTAGACATTTAGGTACCTAAAGATGGGTTTAGGTGTGATAGTTTGAAGTAGTTGATCTAAACAATTTGCCTGGAAAGCACAATTGTCTAGATAGACGTAAAAACAACGAGGAGTCTGGTGGCACCTAAAGACTAACAGATTTATTTGGGCATAAGCTTTCATGGGTAAAATACACACTTCTTTAGATGAATGGAGTGAAAATTACAGATGCAGGCATAAATATACTGACACATGAAGAGAAGGGCTAGATAGATATGAGAGACCTGGATTTTAATCTTGACTCTGACACCACTTAGCTTCATCTGTTTCACTTTACATCTCTAGACTAGTTTTGCTATCTATAAAGCAAGGATAATTATATTTACTTTCTTCATGAGTACATGTTCTTAAAGTGCTATATTCAAAAATAGGAGTATGGCCAGTTGTGACGGGGGGAAGAGGGAAGGGACAGGAATAGGAATGGGGGTAGAAGCAGTTCCCACCCAGTATTCATTCTATGAGGCTGTGTGTTTTGGGGGGCTGTCACCATTCCAGCACCTCTTCATCAAACAGCTTTATCAAAGTTCACCAGTGTCAGTTTTTGCCCAAATGTAGGCTTAATATTTTTACGTGCTTTGGTGTGAATAATTTTCAGTGCAAATGTATAACTTTGTGCAAATGGAAGATGTCAGAGTGAGAGGAGGGTAAAGAGAGAAAGGAGAATGAAATCACACGAAATAAATTGGGAACAAGTGTCACAAACTTCCATGCCAAACCAAATTGCCCTGCCAGTAAGGGCTGGGCCATCACTCGTGTTTAGCACTTTCATGTTTCTTTGATCTTCATATTTCATTCTGCTGTTGATTTGAAATAAAATCCTGGAGGTATTTTACAGCCATAACAAACACTTTCTTGTTAAACATTTAGGCCAAATTCATTCTGGTGTATGCAGGCACGTCTTTATTCTCAACGGATTTGTGCCTAATTACCCTTGCTAGGAGTTTGGTCCTTGCCATGCTAAGTGTGATAGTTCCTGTAAAGAGAGAGGGTTTTTTTTATTGCCTTTACTAATTGTAATGAAATAATGTTTAAGGCTGTAATTTTTATAAGATTCTCTCAGGAAGTTATCTAAATAGTTAAGTTCAATGCTAATAATATAGATGGAATATCAGAGAAGTAGATGCCCAGTCACCCAATACAAAAGAAAGGCACTTTTATAATGTACTTGTGGTAGCAGGCACACTTCAAAAAATTAGAACTGCTGAGCTGCAGGGGAAAAAAATGTAGAGGTTTTCATAGGCCTGAATGCTGCAAATACAAAGACATTTTAAAGTTTAGGCATTAGTTACTGCTGGCTCACTGCCCATATCAGTTTATTTAAATGGAGAAGGGAAGAAACAACTGACTGTATATAATGGGATGTGAAATACCTGTCAGAAATACATGAAGAGTTAAAGACACCACAGAAGGATATGGGCAAGAGTTATAGGGTCCTGACACCCAAAAGGGATGGGAAAGACCTTGAGTGAACAAATTTACATGTGCGTTTACTTTTAAGCATATAGCATAACCTATACTAAGAAGCCTAAATGAATTAAGGCTCTGTTCAGAGTTCTAATGACAAGAACAAATCAGTCAATATCTGCTCTACTAATTAGTGCCATCCCTGTGCTATTGCTACAGTATGATTAGGTACTTTTCCTCACAGCTTAGACATAATGATCTGAGAGATGTAGGGAAGAATGTACCTTTTGAAATTACAAGACAGTAATCAATAAAAGCAAGGAGCCTGCTGATTTAAGGCTGTCATAGCATCTTAAAATGCTGTCCTGTTGTGTTTAGATATTGCCATAAATGTAGTTTGCAAGGCTACCCACTGTTTAATTTCTGTGTAGCTGAATCAGATCTACTGTATTAGTAGTGCTCAGTTTAGGATACAAGGCCAAATTAGTCCCTGGTGTAATTTTGTTATCACCAGTACACTTAAACCGGGGATCAATTTGGCCTACTGTGACAGCTGCTAACTCACAATAGCCATAATTGTATAGCTTTGTGAATTTACCTGTTATTTCAACCTGTTTTATTGCATTTAAAAACAAAAGCTTTATGTTGTGATGTCTAATAAATGTTTGAGGAGGTCTAATAAAGTGAGTCACAAAATTGGTTTGACTCTCATCCCTTGTGCTGTAGTTCAACTGTCCTTTTGCTCTCTTCACATAATTTGTGGCAATAGCTGTCGGTTATGGTGGCAAGGATTGAAAAATTTAATAGACATCTACTAACCAGATGAGTGTGGTGTATGTAAAGGGAGAACTATTGAGATCAAGGACAATTCCCCACTGAAAACCCTCTTTGTAATAAAGTCCTATAGAACTAGATAGGGATGAAACCAATACGGTTCTATAAAAATGAAATAGGGTTCTATAAAAAATTATTCTAAAACCCTATAGTGTTTAATGGTGATAAAGCTGTAGGTTTTTAAAACCACTCTGTAGAATTCACTCACAGAAAGAGCATTCTATTAAGTTCTATAGAATGGTTTTAAGCTGTCTTTCTCTATTAAATTTTGCATGACTTTTTTCATAAGACCCTTGCTATCTTCAGCTCTTGGGAAGTGGAGGATGGACCCTGCTCTGGAACGCTTCCTCTTGCGTATCAGCCTGTTACTAGTGTATGTGTGATAAATTTCATGTTCCACCTACCTATCCCAGTGAGCGGGGGGTCTCTGCTACTCCACCCCTCTGCCAGGTGTGCAGATGGAATCAGTGTTGGGTTTGAATACCTAAAGCAATGTAAGTTCTGTAAAGCATGACTTAATCAAAATACCTGGAAAACATGAATTATAATTTGGGTGTTTTGTTTTTTAACCTAGGAGTGAATTTGTTAGTGGGAACTGAGAGTGGTCTGATGCTGCTAGACAGAAGTGGTCAGGGGAAGGTTTATCCTCTAATAAACCGAAGACGGTTCCAGCAGATGGATGTACTCGAAGGCCTGAATGTCTTGGTGACGATATCTGGTAATGCCCATTTTTCAATATGTTATTTCTCTGAAATCCGGATCTTGCTGAAGTCAACGGGAGTTTTTGCCATTGACATCTCTGGGCCCAGGATTTTTCAGTCTTAATGCTTTCACATTTTTTAATGCTATGAACCAACTTCCATGCAAAACACCCCAAACTGCCTGCTTTGAAGGAAATTTTTTTCACAAGTTTGGAGGATAAAATGATAAAATATTCTATTTTATTTATTTGTATTGTGTTTGGGAGAGAATGGGTGCAGGAAGTTATAAGTCCTCTTTTGAGTCTAGGTCACTAGAATAGAAAATCCGTTGCAGAGTGCAGATGTAGGCAGCATGGAAGGACGGGGAGGAAGGGCAGCAAAGATGGGCATGGTTAAGTTACTGATACGATGGAGTAGATGGATGTCGCATCTGGATGTGTCTTTACTTAGTGAGACTGTAGCCCATTGATCGAACAGGGAGAGATACGGCCATTCTTTAAATAGTTCACACTTTAACATGTCCTAATGAATAATGGTTTCTTACTAAAGCTGGGAACTCCAAACACTTTGGGCTCCAAGGGGCTATTTAAAAGGGCTACTTCATTTATTACACAATTTCACTGAGTTTAAAGCAAATGGTTCTTACAGATCGGTTTTTAGCCATCTACCTTTCTCCTGTATTTTAACTTTTGCCATACTCTGTTGTATGAAACCCCGGGTCATTTAGGGCTTCACACAGTGGTCACTATGTTGCACTCCACAGGCACTCAGAACTGGTGGCAGCAGGGATAGAACTTTGATCCTTCTGCTCCAAGAACATAGACCCCTAACATTGGAGCTAAAGGAGACTCTCCATTATGTATTAACTGTCTAGGTTCTGCAATACACAGTGGAGCAGTTTCTGGTACCATTGGCTAGAAGATAGTGGTACACATAGACCCTAGCTAGCTCAGTGCAGTATGTGAGTGTACATGTTTGTTATCTAAAGTACCACCTTTGTGCCAGTGTAGTAAAGCCCGTTGCTGCATTTCCATTTAAACACACCTGTAATATTTTCATCGGCCATAACTCATTTACATTTCACTTATGGCTGACGACTGAATTACAAAAAAAGATTAAACTAGGCACTTAAAAAACCCTATACCTTTATAATGTACAATATTTCATGATAGCTTCCAACATGCTCCCTGGGTATCTATTTGAATGACACCATTAAATCGTCTGATGCAGTGTATAGTTCAATAGACTTGTAAACAAAGATACCACCTAACCCCGCTTATGTAATGTCCATTAGTTAATGTATCCCACGTTGGTGACGAAAATCTGTGGCTAAATCTCATGTGAAATTCTTTTAGCTTTGTTTACAGTTGCGTGAGTCACGATTCAAATCCCTGACACGTCCAGTTTGTTTCCTTCAAGAATATTGCTTCCTCTATTCAGACACGTTACATTAACCCTGAAGAAATTGATTGAGCTGTAGCTGGCTTATGCCTTAAGCACTGTCCTCTATCCTGGGTTTTACAGGAGGTCACCAGAGTACAGTGAAAAGGGAGGGTTTCTACCCACAGAGGCTGCATCTACATTTGGAGCTAGGGGCTGATGCCCAGCTTGAGTAGACATACTTGCGCTAGTTCTCATCGAGTTAACACGCTACAAATAGTAATGTAGCTACAGTATCTCAGGTAGCAGCAATGGCGGCATGGGCTGGCCACCCTGAATACATACCATGGGGTCCAGATGGGTTTGTACTCAGGGCAGCTAGCCCATGCATTTGCTGCCCATGCTATCACAGCTACCCTACTATTTTTAGCATGGGAGCTCGATGAGAGCTAGCAGAGATTCTGGCCCATGAGATGACTTTGTGGGGGAAGCCTACTGTCCTCTTTCTCCCAGGTCTCCTGCCTGCTATGCTCTCCATCCCATTCTTCCGTCCCTCCTCCCACTCCATCACCAGTTCCTGGCTATTCTGAGCCTGAGCTTTTCCTTGGGTATCTTTCCATTCCCTATTTAAGATGTTCTCTTTGCCTACATCACTCTGAGCAAATGGAAATGTTTAATTTTAACCAAACTTCTCCCAACAGTTGGCTTAATGGGCTTAGTCATGTAATTGTCTCTTTGGGGTTTGATGTGGATTTGTTTAAAGGAACTTCACTTTAAGCAATGTAAGTACATAAATAACTGGTCCACAATATGTTTAAACACCTTTTTCAGGAAATAAATATGTGATGGTAAAGTTTGAAAAGCATCTCCGCCATGTTTGAATGAATTGCCTTGCAGGAGGATTTTAGGAGGAAAATTTAATAAAATTACATCAACATCAAATGTAATTTGTTTTTATTTTTCAAAACTGTAAATCTTTAGCTGATGTGTTTACTACTTTCATGAAAAGCAGAAAAATGAATTGCTTAGATGCTTTTATTTTGTTATTGTGACACTCAAAAGAGTTTTATGCAAGTTGACAAAAGCAAGTTGCAGGTCCTTAATCTGTTAGAAGGCAAAGATGTATCAGATGCTCAGATACTACAGTGATGAACATCTAAAAATGGCTGAAAACAAAGTAAATAATTCAGCAGTAATAAAAGCAATCACTTGTCCTTACAGAGCACATTCCTAGGGATTTTACAAATGTTAATGAACGGTTGCAGCACCCCAGGGAGAGAAGCCAGAATCACAAATAAGTGGAGCTAGTTGAAACTTTCCTGTATTACAAATAAGGAAAATGTTGCATATTAAGTGATTTGAGTTTAATCTCGCAGCAAGCCTGTGACCGAGCCAGAAATAGAAATCAAATCTCCTGACTTCCAGTCGTACACTTCAACTGCTAATCCATGGTGGTGCTCACAAGAAATTATGTTTATATTCAAGGGCCAAAACAGAGTTTTTGCAATTGGCAAAACCCCCAGATTTTTAGAACAATTTACAACTTTAAACCTAAAAGACACGTCCTAATTTTCTCTTTATTCTTGGTGCTCCATTTCTGTGGATGCTTCATAGGGAATATGCCAATTATAATTGAATCTGTCTGTGACAACAGTGTCAGATCAGTTTACTTTGTTTAGCAGTTGTGTAAATACATGCATAGGCACATTTATGTAACTAACCTTGTATGTCAGAGTGGATGCATACTGGAAGGCAGAGGAGTTTCCTGCCTGTCGTGTGATTCTTTCTTTTGTCTAGACTGCAACGATTTAAAAAAAAAATCATTTTGAAAGCTATTTCTGGTTTTGAGAAACTCCCTGTGCTTGCTTATCTTGTGGCCAGATATGAATAAAGAATCACATACTGGGAAAATCCATCTGTATCACTTATTACTGGTCTTTGGTGAATTTTAGTAAATGATGGGGAAAGAAAACCAAACCATGTACTCTGGGAGTAGGTGTGTTTTTCACTGGTTTTCTTTAGGAGACTGTTGAATGTTACCCACTTTAGCCAGATTCCATTTAATCCTCTAAGAGATCTTGCAGCCTGGGGGTTCAGGCTGTTACAGTGGTTTTAAACCACTTGTTACACCGTCCTGGTCTGGGCTGCTCTCGGGACTGGAGAGGACTCCAGTGTGACATAGACAGGTCCCCAGGGCCATCTAAGTTACAGCAGCCTCCCTGGGCTGCCCACTGGGCTATGACAATGCCCAGGATCTCTGCAGTACTTTGTGCCTTGGCTCCAGTCTCTACTCCAGGGCTTCTGAAAGGATTCTCTAGAAGCAGCCTCACGGCTGTGTTCACAGTGCATGTGCCAGAGATAATCTTCCCTCAGTCAGATTTAGGGCCCCTAGGGCTACTTTACACCACTCTAGCCCTTTTATTTGGTGTTCAGGGTCTGGCACAGAGGTGAGGGGGCCGCACCCTTAATATTTAAAGAGCCAAGCTTAGTAAAGCGTGCCATTAAGTATTCCCTCTCCTCTCCCCCAAAAATGGTTAATCCCCAATGTAGTCTAACCCAACTGAAGCATCTGTCCTTTACTCAATTAGTTCAAATAGATGTGAAAAAGTAATATGTTATGAGCTATATCCACAAGTGGCTGTTCCCAATCAACACTATTAATGTAGCTATTTGGGACCTTTTGCTTATTCATACATACATTTATATGACTACACTTTTTAATGGGATTTAGAGAGAAAGCTCTAATGGCAACTTTCCACTTGATGGATTTTTAACAATCAGAAATCCCAGTTATTGTAACTGAACTGTTTGCTGCAACCAGTAAACTTCAAACAGGGAGACTGTATCATGCATACATATGAAGTGGCAGTGAATTTCCTAATACTGAATACTTAATTTTGTATCTGTAATAATAGTTTTATAGCATAGGGCTTTTAAAATTAATTTATAGATATTGTAGTGGAAGGACTCATAATGTACTAGATACTTCTCAAGCACAGAGGGCACAGATCCTGTGCCAAAGAGCTGTGTTGTCGGGATGGTCTATACCAGGGGTCTCAAACTCAAATGACCATGAGGGCCACATGAGGACTAATACATTGGCCCGAGGGCCGCATTACTGACACCTCCCCCTCCGCCGCCACTCCACCCCTTCCATGAGGCCCCGCCCCTGCCCTGCCTCTTCCCACCCCTTCCCTGCCCTCATTCCAACCCCTTCCCCAAAATCCCCACCCCAACTCTGCCCCCTCCCTGCCCCCAGAGAGTGCAGGAGGAGTGGGGTGTGGTGGGGGCTCAGGGAGGGAGTTCGGGTGTGGGGTGCAGGAGGGGTGAGGGATACAGCAAGGGGTCAGGGTGCAGAGTGCGGCAGGGGGATCAGGGCAGTGGGTTGGGGTGCAAGAGGAGTGTGGGGTAGGGCAGGGGGTCGGGGTGCAGGAGGGGTGCAGGGTACGGCAGGGGGTTGGGGTGCAGCA